GGGGGGGGGGGCGCTTGTGCGTAATGAAGAATCTAGTATTTCATTCTTTTTTTGTGAACATGCTTAGTTTGAAAATTTCGTTTAGCATTACTAACTTATAGGTGGCTAAAAATCTGGCATAGCGTAAAAAAGAAAAATACAAACAAATGGGCGCCCTGTCACTTTGGTTGGGGGATGTTTAAAGACTCTTTAGAATTAAAATAAAAAGAAAAGATGCGATTTATAATCTAGAATTAGTTAACTTTATCTGCCTGGATTTAATTATTAAAGAAAACACGTAAGTTTAAATGATAAAAAAAAAAAAAAATACGAAATGCGCTAAGAAATAATATACGCACCTGAACTGGACTTTTACCATACATGTTATAGTAACCACTGAAGTGTTTTAATCTAGTCCCATCAGATAAATAGGAAGTTTTAAAATTATTTCGATGGAAATAATAAATTGCGCTAAAAATACTAAAATTAGAATGAAGCCAAAGGTTAAAGGAAAGGGGTATACCAAGGAAAGGATTACCTTTATCATGGCTTTATGCCAATAGGAACCACTGGAGTTAAATTATTGTTGATTAAGAGCAGTATTTATGATCCCATATTCGTCACCGGATATCCAACTAGTTTAATTTTGTCAAGTGGGTCTTGATACGTTCATTTCGTTGTGCTTGAATTTGAATGACTGAAATTATTATTTAAAAAATACGGCTAATAACTCGTTATTATTTTCTGTTACAATTTTCTTTATATTATCTAGTAATCTTCCCTTTTCCCATTCCATCTTTTCAAGGACCACGTCTCGTTAAATTGGTTCCAGCGATACTACCAGCATCGCTTCCTTGTTTCAAGAAATGTGACAATTTGAACGACAGTATTTGTGTACAATTTGCTGATGGCCACGGAGAGTGTAAATGTGACTTTCGCTTTGCCCGACGGCTGAACGAAAGCACTTGTCTTCGTGAGTGTCCTAAGTCATGTCTTAACTGTTAATTAATAACCCTGCGGTACCGTATAGTCATAGTAATAAGTACCGGTAAGTAATAATTATTATAGTGGAAATTAAATGGTCAAAGGGAGAGAAGGCTGCCAATGGCCAATAACTTCAATAACTATTACCGGTATTACACAACTCAAATTCTTGTTCAAGGGTTTATTTTTTTTTACTAGAGATTATGGATATATTCTCTTTTTAAGATTGATTATACCGGTGTATGGAAAAGATGTGGTGGATTGGGGGCATAGCTAGACTTTGGGTTGCTTGGCCAATTTAAGATTAAGGCCTAATGTACCAGTACATATGCTTTATTTATGTGCTACTTCTTCTACAAGTATTTCTATTTTTAGCTGTGCAGACCTATGAACTGACACTACACCTGACGGAGGAGGCCAGAACCTATGATTACTTTCCTTTGGAGTACAACCCATTTTACAATGACCCGAAATCCCCAGAGTTTATACAGTTTGCCGAGAGAGTATCTCAAACAGGGGTAGTATTGTACATTCGTTTTAAGTTTAATACCGGTTTAATACTTAAAATTATAATATAAAAAAATAATTGGTACCGGTACTGTCCAACAGAGGGATTTTATAAAAATGCAAGTTGTACACATTATTAATTGTTTTAAATTAAAATTAAATACAAGATTACTTCCAAAATTATATTGGTCAATCTGTACCTGATCAAAATAATCTTTTATTAACCAGGTACATTTCTTATTTTTATCAATTTATTCTGTTTGTAAAATCAATTTCAACCATTTTTTTTTTAAACTTCAAAAACTTAAAATTATGTGACCAACTCAAAGTTAAGTGGACAAAACAACTTAAATATAAAGGGAAATTGAAATGTGATTAACCTTAGTAAGGAAAAGAAACATTTGCATTGCATTCAGTGTAAGTACCTGTATACAAATTATAAAATACTAGACTCAATTGATAGACCTACATAATACCCTAATAGCAGTGGCAGGAATTTTGAACAAGGCAGATTGTGATAAAAGTAAAAGGCACTGGATTGGGAATTTAAGCTGCACTGTATAAAGTTTAGTCATCATGTTTAGAAAATGTACCTAAATTAGAATTAAGTCTGATGTTGAATAACAAATGGGTCATTATTATTGAAATGATATTCTATATAACAGTTAAACTTAAGCATGAATCTATTATTATTATCACTGATAATACAATCAATTATCACAAAAAGAAACTTTTATTTGTCTAGAATTGTTACTTCTGTTACCTACTTTAAAAAAATTGATTGATATTGATAATTGGTATTAATGGTATTGATATCATCTCAAAACAACTAAAGTTAAAGCACATGCATGCAATATAATTATAATATTTTTTTTTCTCAATTGCCTACAGCTTGAGCCTCTTTTCTTTCCATCTGCTCTGGGCAGCAGATATGTCTCCAGTAATGTAACAGAAATTGTAAATCTTGATTCATCTGGACAAAGTGTGTCATTGGGAGTGAAAGTCACTGCTCTAATTCACTTGACAGCCTTTTATCTAAATGCAACAGGCTCAAAAGACATTTACTCTGTTATAAAGAATGAATTAGAAAGGTATTCATTCTACATTCAGTTTATTAATTTTTTTAAAATCTCTTAAATTTTTTTTTTAATGTTGTATGTTTAATTCTTAACTCTGCTCGTCAATGGATAAATTCCTGCCCAGTTTTTGAAAAAAACCAAGGTACAGTGATCTCTAGTCTATCACAGGCTCACATTTTTGGTCTCACTCTATCGCAGATTTTTAAACAAATTTTTTACTTGTACTTGTACGGTACAGATCTAATTTTTGTATCACAGAATTTTCACTACATCATGGGATTTTGCTGTATGATAGGTTACTGTTATATATTCTATATATATAATTTGCCAGAAGAAGTAGGGCAAACAAGACACAGGCTATAAATAGCTACGCCAGAGCAAGCAAGATGAAGACGCAGGCAAACCCTCCCTTCTCTCAGGTCGGCGTGAAATATAAAAAGGGGGGGGGGGGGGGGGGAATGTAGCAAAATTGGCATACTTAAATGTGCGTACGGTAACTTGAGGTTACGTTTTTGTCAAGTTACTTTTGGAGATGGGAAGTTCATGCATTGCTACCGCCAATGTTTGGCGGGCTATAACTTCTAGTTTTATATATTTTAATTATTTTTGCATGATAAGAATAGAATTTTTATGTTGTTTAATTTATGTATTTAAATAGTGTAGAAAGTGTATAAGTATAAGAGTATTATAAGAGCATACAAAGTGTTTATGAGTAGGGGAAGTGTTTATAAATCCTTAAAATATACCAGAATATGAATAATAAATTATGTAAGGTCGCGACTCTCGGATTTTCACCTGTTGCGAGTGGGAGTATGTCTAGAACCTAACCCCTGCAATAAACTAGGATCACTTTCATCATTGAAAAAAACGTGCCCCAACAATCACCTGCATTCTGTTTTGACTTAACCTTAGTGTAAAACAGTTTTAAACAGTGGGGTAGATAGATTTTGTGGTGCCCGGGTGGCCCTTTGCTGCCGCTAATTCACAAAAGCTACACACTACAATGCAAATAATACAAATCAAAAGAGAAAAGTAATATAACTTATATGAAGCAACCTAAAAATGCCCCCACCCCCAAACCTTCTGACCTCCTCATCCTACTACACCTGAGGTGCTATTCCAATCAAGTGCATGTTACCGAATGTTACCTAATACAAATATATTCAATGTTTATTGTTAGTTTATTTAATATGAAATGTTTGGATAGCTTTGAAGGTTCAATATTTTAGTGGTGATATGGTGCTGAGAAATTAAAATGACTGCAATGGCATAGATTTTCAAGACAATGATCCAAAGTTTTTGTGACTCTAGTCAACACCAATGTTCAGCTTGTCTAATTTACAGTTCTGAAAATACGGTAATAAAAATCATTGTTTGCTGAGTTTTTCTCCTAGCTGAATTTGAAAAAAATCATTGGACTATCACAAGAATAGTTCATTGGGTTTGATGTGTTGGTTGGTTGAATCTAAATCTAAGAGAGTTGGGGGTGTTTGGAGTAAGCTGACATTTTATAAAGGCCTTAATTTAAGAGGCTTAATTAAATCTTTTAAAAATTGTGTGTACCATTGTCTAAAACAGTAGATTTTTACTTCATTACAAATCTCACATTCAAATTATAAGTGCAGAAAACTACAGCCAGATGTGGATTTAAATTATTAGGGTTGAGAATAGGGGAGAGGTCCTACAACAAGGATTGGATTGCTGTATCTTAAATCATTTTCCCAAAACATTAGACTGCTATGGAAAGCACACAGCTCAATTTAAAACCCCCTTCCTCACTTGTCAGTTGTCACTCCCCTGAGCCCACTAGCGTCACAATTGAAAAAATGTAACTTGAAGTGTTTTTAACAGCGGCATAATCAACAAAAATTTGTTTTTAATAGCAATGACAGGGTTCTAGGAAAAAGTGGCCTCAAGATTCAGAGCATAAGTAAAGACAGCTTCACTGTTACAGGTTAGTTGTGTGTTAGTTGGTTACTATGTCTCAAGTGGAAACAAAGTTTTTTAAAAATAGCCCACAACAGCAATTTTTTAATCAAAGGATATATTTGTAACCGGGTATGAAGGACTGAGCATTTCTTAAATGGTTTTTGAAAGTTATGGTACCATATATAATATAATGAAATTTTACCTTTGGCAATAGTATACATAAAAGATGTAGATATACTGGTAAGCATTTAACAAATATAAATGATCAGACACACATGTTCTATAAAATATCTAGCAGTGAAGTTAAATATGTAGAATGTAATTATTGTAATTGGTTAATGCAAAACAAAAAAACCACCCTCTACATAAATAATTTAAGTAAATTATCTCTTGAATTCTTTAGACTATGATGAATGTGCTCTCAAAGAAAGAAATGATTGCTCGCAGTTTGCCAACTGTCTTAACACAGTGGGTAGTTTTATGTGTATATGTAAGCCGAGGTATGAGGACGTGTCAGCAAAGAGCAATCTCAGGCCAGGGAGGGACTGTCAAAGTAAGTCTTATTCAACTCATTAAAGCATGTTCTCAGGGTGCTTAAAATTATACCAGTATGAGTAACTAGATGTTGAATATGGTTAATTGAGAGTAATAATATTAGTAATAAATATGATAAAATAAATTATGTTTTCACTCATTTTATTACACATTGTACCGGCATATTGTATTTTCAGTTCTGATGTTAAAAGCTGAATGTTTGAATTTTGTTACTTTCCCCAAATTTATTATTTTTTTATTTTAATATTATACCGGTACTTATACTGCTGAACTTTGTGTATATCTTGCAGAGAAACATACCTCTATAAAATAATTTAAAATACTTCTTATCATTTATTGTGTTTAATTATTGATTATTGGGTACGCTAACAGTAACAGTAGGGTATCAATCATCTTCATATCCATCCCTGTGGCTCTACAGCCCATGTAGGGCTTTGGCCTACCTCACCACATCCTTCCACTCAGACCTAACTGGCGCTTTTCTTTATTTCCATGCTTGGATTCCCAGCTGCTGTAGATAATATTACACATCATCCATCCATCTAAGCCTAGGTCTGCCTTTGAGCCATTTTCTGCTTGGGTTTTGGTGGTGCACCTGCTTCACTCCTCTGTCATTTGGAATTCTTTCTAAGTGTCCCGCCAAGCATAGTCTGGCCTTCTTTATTTTTGCTACAAGCATGGGATTCTGATATAGACTATACGATTCCTGGTTAGTTCGTATTCTCCATCCATTTTATCCTGTTTGTCAGTATATTTTCCGAGAACTTTTCTCTCCCATGTGTTAGGGTCCAAGTTTCACTTGTGTACCGGTATGTTACTTTTACAACTTGTCTGATCGTTTAATTTTAATATTCTATAAACATTAATTTTTTTACTACCTTCTACTCACAGTCCCCAATACAGACACTACTGTTGTATACAGTGAATTGTAAGTTCTTGGGTTTTTTTCAAATTTATAATAAATTTCTTCTTTTTTTTTTTAAATTCAGTGGTACTGTTCCAGGTAAATTATCTTATACTGTACCGGTATATTATTATAATAATAAAAATTATATCTAAGATGTTGTATGTTTCCTTTTAAAAAGCTGCCAATGTGTTGTCTACATTTAATTAATTTAAATCTGAACATTTTTGGTCCAATATCTAGTAGTACATTACATTAAAGAATTTTTTTTTCTGAATTTCAAGCTCATTTTGGGGGTACCATTAACAGTTCATACTGACTAGTCAAAGAAGCTTATACTTATACTAGCACTAGTCTTATACAATTTGTATTTCAAATGAGTTAAATGGCAACGTTTCTCATCTTCTCAACGTGATTTGTGGACAAGCCCATCAACACCACAGATATGGTCAAATTAAAAGAAAATATAAATAGTCATCATGGCTCCCTTCCCTGGTGCAAAATCAAAAGCTGCTTTAAACTATACTACAGGCTACTAACTGTAATTTCTACTTTTCAGATGTTCCTCAGATGACTGTAAAACAAAGTGGGAGTGTATGTATTTTAATTTTAGGAAATTTATTCTACTTATATGAGTACATTTGGAAAGATATTATTTTACTTAATATTAGTACCGGTATAAATTGTTGGACTGACTAGTTAACGTGAAGGGTAGTCAATAAATGTATACCGGTACACATCTATTCTGTTGGTATGACCTCGATTTTTTTCTAAATTATTTAGTTTTTGTTAAAAACAAAAGGAACAGTAAAACAATCTCCATGATATTTATAAACTGTTTTTCAAATGTCAATGTCCCCAGATGTCGCTCTAGCACTGACAGTGTTCTTGCTTATTGTCATGTCATTTATTACCTACGAGATCATTCAGCGAAAGCAGGATTTCTCTGCAAGGTACTGAGACTAAAATCACTTGCAGATTTTTAAACAAATTGTTACATTGTTCGAAGTGGCTATTTGTACCCGGGTATCAGAAATGAGAGGTTGGGATTAAAAAATTATGTAAAATATTATTGTTGGGTTTGTAAGACAAAATGAGGTATCAAATGAAAGATAATCAAATGGACTATATGTTTGAATGTTTGTAAACTTACTTCTTCAGTTTAACTAAAATAAACTATCGGTACCACAAATGACATACGAATGGGATTTAGTTTTAGTCTAAAGGGACCCGGGTCTGAATAGCGGATATGCGTACCTGGGTCCCTTTAGACTAAATCCCATTGGGATGTCATTGTTGATAGTTTATTTTAGTTAAATACCCGGTAGTGATAGGCTATGTTGACCAGAATAAGGCCAAAGATAAGACTATACCGGTAGTTGATGATAGCCAATTAAATAAATATTCTAATTTTAGTTTTGCAATTAGTTCATGCTTGTTAAAATTAAATCATGTCTGTACTTCTTGATAAACTTTTAAGAAAATATATACCTTTTTTTTATGTTAAGATTTAGATAGTTTAATTTTTAAATGGTATGATTATAATTTATATATATTATTATTATTTTTAAGAAAATATATACCTTTTTTTAATGTTAAGATTTAGATAGTTTAATTTTTAAATGGTATGATTATAATTTATATATATTATTATTATTACTAATTATTATAATATGTTCTGTCCTCTAGAAAACTTTATGAAAAATTTGGGACTACTAAAATTCGTAAACTGAGACAGGCAAGTATGAAAAGAATACAGGAAAGTAAAAGAAAAAGGAGAGAGGAAATTAAAAGGAAAAAAGAGGACAAGAAAAAGAAAAAAGAAGAAGAGAAAAATCAGAAAAATGAAGAAAAGAAACTCAAAACACTTGCCAGGAAAGAAACTAAGAGGGGGAAAAAAGATAAAGGCACAAAAGGTGCAGATAATGATGTTAATGAGGATGAAGGTAAATTTTTTTGTAGGTTATTTGTACATTTTAAACATAACATTGGTTCAATTATAATTAATTGATTTTTCAAAGAGCCTAACTTTAGTATGTCTTAGAAAGTAGAGAGCCTTAAAGTTAAGTTAACTTAAAATTAAACAATGAATATGTTACTGGCACTTGCAAATATATCGAGATTCTAAAACTGTCATCATAATCAAAGAACCGTGCAAATGAGTATGGTAAGGTACCACTGGTAATAATTAAGTTTATAGATTTTACTAGTTACGGGTAATAGTATGTATTCAAATTCAAGCAGTTGATTCAAAATTTAAAGCAATAATTCTTTATTACCCCCTTAATTAAATTAATGAGTCGAGTTGCATCATCTACCCGTACACAAAACCATGGCCCTTCAATCTCTGACTTAAAATAAATACCTGAAGTTTAAAACAAAAAAATTGTAATCTGGCATATTTGCCACTAAAGAACTGGCTCATATTCATAATAAAAAGGGGCTAGAGCCAATATTAAGTCTTCTCAAGAATACTACCAGAACTGTAGAAACATAACTGAAACTCGAGAAACCGATAGGCAGAAAGAAAAAAAGGTACATTTCATCAGAGATATACCATATTTATCGACGTATAACATGCACCATTCGCGTCGCTATGCGGTATGTACTATGGGTCCTTAACATAATATCAGCGTATGACACGCACACATCATTTGCCCCCTATCTTCAGGGAGAAAAGGTGTGTTATATGCCGATAAATACAGTACCGGTACTTGATAAGTGTCGACATATCATTTGTGTTTCTAATTTCTATCATTATAGTATCATTAAAAATGTTTTTTGTCCATCCATGATAGATAACACCACCCCATCTATGGCTGAGATTGTTTACCCACCTTCCTTTGCCGAGGAAGAAATCTGTCACGTAAACATTGCTAGCCTCCCAGGAAGTACAGGTGATGATGACAGAGCACCAAGGATAGCTGTGTCACCTATTGAAGAATCACCAGTTTGAGAGAAAAGCTAGACTTTGACAAGTTACATTCACATTACAACAAACTGACATTTTAAGGAAACATTGGAATTCAATTGATTAAAGTATATAGTTCTCTACCGGTACGGTATATAATTTATGCTGTATGTATTTTGTAGGTTTAATGTAACTATGTTACAATATAGTTTATAGCAAACACATGATGTACACATTTTTAGAACTTGTGGTTTTTGCACAAGGTTATGGTTTAGAGTGACAAATGTTTAGAAAGTAGCACAAAATTTTCACACAATGGCACTTTGTCATAATATCATGTTAATGTTAACCCAAACACTGTTGTTACTTGAACTGTAATGCAAGATTGTCTTCATTAAGTTTTGAATAAAATACTTGTTTTTATCGTTCTATTTTTAATACCATACCCATTACTGATTAGGCGATTTACAATTTCGTTGTTTACTGATTGATTGTTACATTGCCGATAGTGTGCGTGTGATTTGGATTACTTGGATCCATAGAACCCAGTTATATTATATTTATATTGGTAGTGATATGGTATCTTTTAATATTTTATATCCTTGTATGTGTCCACCAGAGGGTACAAGAGAAAATGTATTCATATTTTCACTAGATTGTACAGACCATTTAGTGCTATGGCTCAACACTAAAAATAGAATTGCCTTAATTTTTGCTAAAAACCATTGAGCAATTAGGTCTACAAAAATAGATGTGCATGGCCAATAGACCAAGTCATCAGTATTTCGCAGTTACTTGTCATGTTATACCGGTACTTGATATATAGAATCTATTGTGCTGTGCTCAATGATTTCTGTATTACGAAACTGTGCATTCCGTTCATAGCAGAGAGCAGTTATGACCTGTACTACATAATTGATGTTAAAGATGCATTCTTGTACAGCCAAACACTGGTGATATAGCAAATAGCATCAATGGGAAACCTGAATTTTCAATCATGCAAATTTACCACTTTATATTATTAATTTTTCAGATTGAACTAACCCATATTTTTTTTATTGTAACTATGCAATTTCAAGAAATAAAATTCATATAAAAAATACAATCCATGTGTTTGATTTGAAATAGGTTAGTTAGATGTACTGGGATTACAATTTAAAATGTTATGCACCACCATTTTTAGTCAAATATAAACATAGGTAACAGATGAAATTACTACAAAGTAATTTAATATAAAAATGAATTCGCTGCAGGGATGAAAAGAAATAAGTCAATTTATCAAAAAAGACAAGACTTTTATTTAATATCTCCTTAACAACCCCATCTAAATAAGGTTGGGAAGAAAACCTCTGTACAGCAATCACACAAACTTCAACTTTCAACCAAAATTTGGTCTTCAAATTAGAAATACAAGGAAATAAGGTTTACTATGTAATTTAACATAGAAATTACTACATAATTACTAAGTTATGTAATATATGCAACTTGTACCCATCTGTCTAGCATACACCATTTTCAATGTGTGCAACAAGTGATGCTAAAAAATGAAAATGATGAAACTTTAAAGAGATATGATACTGAATTTATTTGCATCAAACAGTTGATATCACAAAAACAAAACCAGTACCATATAGCATATAGAGGTGGAATTAGAACCATCAGCTTTATAGTCGGCTTCTACACTAACAATGTACAACTGCCTGTCGGTCCCTTGTATAGTCAACAGTCTTGTAGGCGGTCTATACTGTCACTGTGCCTCATTTAGCTAAATTACAACAACCAGTACAATCAACCTGCCCCAAAACTAATAAATAACTTGGCCCACTAACAAGCAATTGTCCACAACTCTCTTGGTCTATGCACATTTATGTTGTTTAAATATCCATGTATAGAAAAAAACTTGGTCTCTCCTCATGCAGACACACACTGCGCAAACATTCGTATATCATAATTTTAGTTCAATCACTAATTTATTTTATTTTATTTTTTTTATTAACAAACGAAATTTGTATTCTATGAATTTCAGAATCTTGTTAAAATGCGAACAGGAGCAAGAAGGCCATCATGAGGCAGAACAGACCCATAGCTTCAGAGAGGGCAAATCCCAAAATAGCAAAGGAGAACAGTTGTCCTTTCAACGATGGGTTACGAGCATAGCCAATAACAAGACTGCCGAAGACACTGCCGATTCCAGCCCCTAAATTAAAAAAAAAAACACCATGTAATGAACATTAAAAAAAAAACCAGTAAACACCAAAAAAAATATGAAAAGGCTATCAATCATGATATATTTAAAACCCCCAAGGACATTCTTACCTGATCCTGCGACACCAACTGTAGCTGCACCAGCCCCAATATATTTTGCAGCCTGATCAATATCACGTTGAACAGCACTAGTTTGGAAAGATCGGATCTAAAAAATGAAAAATATTTTTTATTGCACCAATCTGGCCAAGTCAACCCAAAAAAGGGGGGGGGGGAAGAGTTCCTTCAGTGGTTCCATGTACAGCAGCCATCATGAATATCTGGATTGTAACAGGTTTTCATCATTTGAAACCTAAAATATAACATTGCTTTCATTCTAAAAAATGAAAAATATTTTTTATTGCACCAATCTGGCCAAGTCAACCCAAAAAAGGGGGGGGGGGAAGAGTTCCTTCAGTGGTTCCATGTACAGCAGCCATCATGAATATCTGGATTGTAACATGTTTTCATCATTTGAAACCTAAAATATAACATTGCTTTCACAATATATGAACGCTAAATCAGCTTCACAAATTACTACAATGTGAACATTTATAAAGAGAAATTCTGAAAATCCTATCTGAACAGAAGGTGTGTCCAAAAGTCAGCTTTATATCTCCATGTTAGTTTTGCACACAAAAAAGCCTTAGAAAATAATCAGGGTCTTTTCCTTCAAACATATAAACATTACAAAGAATATGTTAAGTTACTTCAATTCAATACCACCAGCAATTACGTGGAAGAATTCTTATAAGGTGAAAGCTAAAAAAATTCTTTGCAAAAATGCTTGACAAAAAACTATAGTAAAAACACAAACAAAATACAACTGGATTGTTTCTTCAGTGGTTCCATGTACAGCAGCCATCATGAACATCTGGATTGTAACATGTTTTCATCATTTGAAACCTAAAATATAACATTACTTTTACAATATATGAGCCCTAAATCACTGTCACAATTTACTACCATATTGACATATATAAAGAGAAATTCTGAAAATCCCATCAGCACAAAAAAAACACGTTTTTCCAAAAGTCAATCTTATATTTCAGTTAGTTTTGAAAAAAAAAAAACACAAAAAAACCCTCTAATACATATAAATATAAAGGTTTATGCAAAGCAGGGTTGGGCAAACTATGGCCCGAATGCAGGCAAGCAACTGATAATATGCGGCCCTCGATAGGCATTTAGAAAGTTTAAAAATTAATTTGTTTTCAAGTTATTTTGTTGAACTTTTGTACAGAATTTCAGGTTCCGCTATGATCATTTTAACATTTTTGATCAACTTTCTACTTTTATTAACAGTCCTTGACTTTTGACATGTTATGCTTAAATGTGAATTTACCTTTTTAAATGTAGAGAAATGTTTATCAAAATGTAAAAATTGGACATAAATATACACGCAGCCCCCCAATAGCTTTACATTAGTCAATGTGGCCCTCCGCACAAAAAGTTTGCCCACCCCTGATGTAAAGCTACTCCAATTTAATTCCAGCAATTACTTGGTGATAAGTTTAAAACTAAAAATTCTTTGAAACAGTTCTTGACAAAAACCATTGTAAAAACATATATAAAATAAAATACAACTGGATTGTTTCTTCAGTGGTTCCATGTACAGCAGCCATCATGAATATCTGGATTGTAACATGTTTTCATCATTTGAAACAATCTTATCTGGATACCCGCACTTGTCCCCTCCCCTCCATTAACTTTTCTTTACTGCCATCCATTGCAAAATACAAGCGTGGTAAACAAAGCTACACATAAGATTTTATTCTAAGCTGAAGCCATTCAATTTCGGAAATGTCCAGTTTCAATTATTCCTCCCACGAAAACATACGGTGAGCTATCTTTCTTTTAAGTTCATGATTATGTTTGTTTATGTACAGCGTGCTACCTAGGCTGGCGTACAGCGCTATATAAAAACACTAATAATATTATTATTCTCAGGCTTTATGCAATAAATTTACTGAACATAATTGATGAAAACCACAGCCCGAACAATAAGTACTATTGTCAAAAACAAAATTGCCCCCAGCTTTTTAAAAATATTTTCTTTTGACCTTGGATGACCTTTTATAAAATATTTTTTAAATTTCAAATGAAAAGAATAAAGTGGGGTTCTAAAGAGTGAACTGTTTAGTTTTTTTAAAAAAAGAAAGAAAAAAAATTCAAAAAGGAATTCATAAAGGCTACAACTTAAATGTCACTAGTGTTTCACAAAAAAAACCTATGTACCAGTAATTGAAAAATATAAAGACAAACAAGGATTGTTTCATTCTTCAGTGGTTCCATGTACAGCAGCCATCATAAATATCTGGATTGTAACATGTTTTCATCATCTGAAACATTTATTACGCAACAAATCTAACAAAAACATGACCTTTCTAAAAAAAAATATTGTCTAATTACCTGGCTAATAAGTGATGAAAAGTTGGGGGATTTGGCTGCTAGACTTAGAGCACTGATTCCACTGTAACCAGATAAACTTACACTTGGCTGTTGCTATTTAAAAAAAGAAAGAAAAAAAAACATTTAGGACATAGCATAAATCAGCTTGTAAGGGTTCAAAAAAGCTAAGACATATTGCAGGAAAAGTACGTAAAATGTCACTTAACAGAATGGTCAAATATGAAACTATAAAAATCATAAGACTATTTATAACCTTACCTCTGTCTTTAGGACAACTGTACTCCCTAATGGCCTCAAGGCTGAGCGACTGAGGATGCTCTAATAAAGAAAATGGTAACAAGTTGTTAATATGAGGTTTGAAACTATTTTAGATGACACAGAGACATAACCAAAGAAATAATAGCCTAGCATGACAATTGATTACAAATTGTTGTCCCACCAGTAAACACAGCTGAATGCCAATGTAAAATTCACTGACTTGACTTTCACTACCATACTTTACTCAAGGTCAATAGTGAAGAAAATGCACTAAAATTTGTTAAAATCAAAGAAACCAGGATAAACTAAGTGCAATGGCATATCTAAAAATGAAAAAAATAACAAATTATCCTTTAGGCCTTGCCTTACAAGGACTAGGTTGGCTACTTTGCACACATCATAAAACTTTCAGGAACTTGTATGTATATTATAGTATATATAAATATATATTTAATAGCTAACCTCACACTTTATCAACTATCAACTGATGTAGTTTCAGGGTTATTCATTCATATAGTTCAATAAAATGTGTCATCTTGCTTTCATGAAAACTTATGTACCCAGTACCATGAAAAGTTACTATAAGGTCATCAGTAGGTCATACAGAAAAACAAATTTTATCATTTATAAATTTCTAGCTAAAAAAAAATTAAAAGATGAAATTCAGATTAAATTTAAGGGTAATTCAATGTTACTCCCTCTTAATCTGCATTTATAAAATCTACACATTTTTTTAAGCTCTCCATTGATCACCAACTACCCAGTGTAAGTACACACAACAATGAAGAGTCCCTTCCTCAAATGATAAAATTGAATTATATCAAAATGCACATTACAGACGATATAACGACATTTAGTTGATGGAATGAAAACATATATATTACTCTTAAGAATGATCGTATCGTATCTTACCAGGCATCTGGCTGTGGGCTGGGCGAACTTTGCACAAGCATACATGTTTAACTTTGGTTGTTTAGGTCGTAGAACCTGTAGAGAAGAAGCCGGTAGTCCGATATTTAGCGGAAATCACAACAAGTATATCGAAAGTACAATAATTACATAAAATATTTAGTGCATTTAAGAGGCCGATCGCAGTAGAAATAATTAGAGTTATAAATGTAACAGGATGAACTAAACTGTAGAACGATACCCGATTGATTTGATATGTACCTATTTAGCTCCAATGGCCTAGCTAGAGGTGAAAACGAAGGAGACAGAGTTATTGCGCATGCGCCAGTTATCACAGATATTTCCGTCAGTGACGACACGAAAACTGATTAAAACTATTGGAAATTAACGAGACAAATGTATTTTCTCTACTAACTACTAAATGAAATTGGATTAAAAAGTTTTAAAACACCATATAATTATTTCTAAACATGAGTTTGATACACAACGAAAAATAATCAATCTCAATTAAGCTTATTCAAACAAATAAACGCAAAATAATAAAATGCATATGAATTTATTTTTTTTTTAAATTAAGATAATTGTTCAAGAAACTCATGATTGTTTTTGATTGAGGCATTTGAGGAGAATGGTCGGCTCTGACTATTTTAAAAATATAGAATTGCTGCCTAAAAAATCATTGGTGGATGTCAGATGTTAAAGCGGTATCTTAGCTTCAGAATTAGCCCAATATTTGTATGTGTGTGTGTGTGTGTATATTGATTGCAAATTAATTTCTTAGCAACAAGAGTTCGTAGAAAATATATCATTTGAGACAACAAAGCTTAGATTATAGCTCCAAGGCAGATTGCAAACAGATATTTCAAAATACTTTATGTTATATTAACTTTGCTTTTTTGTGTGTTAAGTTAAAAATTTTCGGACGGCCAACTGACCCACTTCCCGACAACCTATCTTGCTTAAACTTGCTGCATTGACTCATTTCCGAAGACAACACATTCTATCAAATTTTCAGTCCCACCCCATAGCCCTAAACCCCAAAAAATCAGTTTTCCACGTTTTATTTATTTATTTAGGCATTTTTATATAGCGCTTACCTTAAAGCTCTAAGTCTAAGCGCTTTACAATTATTAAAAACATGTAAACTAAGTAAAATAAAAATGAGACATTAGGATAGTAACTACTATACTGTAGAAACAATTAAAATGGCTATAAAACGAAGACAATTTGGCACGTTTTGGCCTATTCTACAGGATCAACCCTGTTTTCCAAGTAGAAGATGAAGGAAAAATGATGCCACTAGTTTCTTGAAATGAAATTCCTTGTAACTGCGCTAAATAATAAACTTTTTAAAAAATATCGCACGTTTGGTGCGTAATATTTTCTTTTGGCGTTTTTCTGAAGTGGTGAAGTGAATCTGTGGTGTAAAAGCGGTTGGGACATTAGAATTAGAATAGTAATGTAAAATAAAATAATTTTAAAATGCACCCTCCTTGCCCTACCTCATTTTCTGTTTCGGGTTGATCCTGAAGTGTCAAAGTGTCCTCGTTTTGTAGCCATTTTCATTGTTTCTATAGAATAGTAGTTACTATCCTAGTGTCTCATTTGTATTTACTTAGTTTACATGTTTTAATAATTGTAAAGCGCTTAGAGCTTTATGATAAGCGCTATATAAAAATGTTATATATTTTTTTTTGGGGGGGGGGGTGAGTGGGGGGGGCGGGGGTTGTTTAATTACGTTTCAGTTTATAAAAGCTCGGGAATGAAGCCACTGTCTCAGATTGTGAGAAGTTTCGCTTGATAGTCAGTTTGCAGGCTTATAATGAACGGATTTTGAGCGATTGCCGGAATTCCCACTCAGCGATGAATATCAAAACTTTCAAATTTTGATCACTCTTTGGCTTCGTCAAGTTTAATATTTCCTGCTTTCGGAAGCCTTCGCAGCCTTGGTATTTTAATCAGAAATTCAATGTCAGGTAACTCGTCGTAGAAAGTGGTCCGTTTTTGGGGTGGACATTGACACAGTAAGACTTATTCAGACGTCAATGGTGAACTCGTAGAATGAAAAGCCTAATAAAAAAAACTAAAAAAAAACTGCTACTTTCTTGATCTGATCAAAGATTGAGATCCGGTCCGTCAGGGGTCTTTAACCGGCTACCCAGGTGGCAGTCACCATTATAGAACCGGAGATTGGCCATTTATTTACCCAAAAGCACGCCCATAGCTCCTATTTGAATATTTGCTGTTTCCATCACCACCACGGCACTGATTGTCTGCACTAATACACCATCGAGATTTAGAAGGGAAACGAATTAATTCAGTTTTTCGACACTGTATCTCGTTGTGGAAGCAATCAAATACTCTTTTTTTTTTTAGTGATCCTCATGTTACCTTTATTCTTTTTTCCTAATTTCTTATAAATTTTACAGATTTCCAAAATGTTTTAGTCCTTTATAATCTTACTTTTCACTTCTTACTTTTCAGTATGAGCCATAAATGCTTCCCCGACCACTGGTCAGCACGACTGACCACACAATGTTTTAGCATGACCGAGTCATCCAGCCCGATTCAGCGCGCGCATTTCCCCATCAACACATGCACCACACGACTGCTTCGCCAACTTTGGGGTTTAATTAAGGTGGACCTTTGGTTTTTTTAGAAGGGAGATAACTGTGGAATATTAGTTTTGTATAATTTTAAATGGGTTGCGCCTCTTTGAAATTATTGAACTTTTTCGTGTTTGTTATAGAATGAACGGCCGAGATAAATAAACACGACATATTGTGTACTTAATTTTGGTCTTAGAATTAGCTCTTTTTAAAACTCACAATAAAAATAAATACATTGAAATTATATTTTAACGTCACATATTGGAAGAAAAAAAAAAAAATTAATTAATAAATTTTAAAAAAGAATTTTAAAAAATGAGAATCTTTAAAAAAATGATTTGGTGTGTGAGGTGGTTATGTGGGTAGGGCATGTGAGGAGGGCATGTGGGGAGGGCATGTGAGATGTTTATGTGGGTTGGGCATGTGAGGTGGTCATGTGGGGTGGGCATGTGAGGTGGGCATGTGGGGAGGGCATGTGAGGTGTTCTTTTGAGATGTGAAGGGGGTAGTCAATTGTATTATCTTGATTAAAGCGGAAGCTAAAAATCTAATTGGAAATATCTTAATGAGGGTTAAATGGGAAGAAAAATCAGCGAGGCAGGGCAATGACATTGCATATATCGTGTAAGTGTGTATTTGTGTGACTGTGTGTGAGTGTGTGTGTGGTGTGAGTTAGTGTGTGAGAGTGAGGTTGTGAATGTGTGTGTGAGTGAGTGTGAATGAGTGTGAGTGTGTGTGAGTGAGTAAAGGAGTGAGTGTGTGATTGTGTGATTGAGTGTGTGTGAGTGAGTGTGAGTGTGTGAGAGTGTGTGAGTGAGTGAGTCGGTGAGTTAGTGTGAGTGAGTCGGTGAGTTAGTGTGAGTGAGTCGGTGAGTTAGTGTGAGTGAGTCGGTGAGTTAGTGTGAGTGTAAGTGAGTGAGAGTGTGTATGAGCGTTTGAGTGTGTATGTGGATGTGTGAGTGTGTGTGAGTGTGTATCTGTGCGTATCTGTTTGTGAGTGAGTCTGTGTGTGTTTGTATGAGAGAGAGAGAGAGAGAGAGAGAGAGAGAGAGTGTGATGGGAGTCATTATGTCTGTCTGGAAGTACACACTGGTGAAACCAAAGAAACCAAAGAAATGAACAACATCAATCAAAATAGCTTGTTCTTATAAAACATTTATTATTTTTGTTTACTGCGTACCTAAACTAAGGCAATGAGATTTTTTTTTGTGTCCCTGCTAAACTAAGGCAATGAGATTGTGTTTGTGTGTCCCTGTTAAACTAAGGCAATGAGATTGTGTTTGTGTGTCCCTGCTAAACTAAGGCAATGAGATTGTGTTTGTGTGTCCCTGCTAAACTAAGGCAATGAGATTGTGTTTGTGTGTCCCTGCTAAACTAAGGCAATGAGATTGTGTTTGTGTGTCCCTGCTAAACTAAGGCAATGAGATTGTGTTTGTGTGTCCCTGTTAAACTAAGGGCCGTAGCTAACAGTGCCGTAACGAAAAGGGGACGGAACAAAGTACCCACATTGCGTCATCTTCAGTAATTCAGCACTGGGTGTAGGTCAAATCAATCATGCGCTTGTTGGTACAATATGAATGAGATTTTTTAAAAATATATTTAAACAAAAAGACCCATTTTCTTTGCGGGTCAACCTTCACCACAACGAGTACTCAGCCTGCGATCACGGCTATTGGTAATCTTTTGGGGTAAATTGATAACCGCTAACAATCCGTTATCGATAACTGATAATCACGCTTTAAAACGGTACATTTAAGCAGCCGGGCATATGGAGACTGAGCACTTATAATGCTCAATGGCTAAGTTATAGTTCCACTCAGTCCCACCTCTTTGAAACTATTGTCTACTGTCATTTTGTTGAAATCAAGGCTCAGTCATCTCTCTGGGCCGCCGCACTACCGGGGGGGGGGGGGGGGGGGGGGGGGGGGGGGGGGGTCTTCTCTTGTAATGTTTTTAAAACACGCTTTCTCGGTGCATGATCTCAACGTATTGTCTTGTGATACAATCTAAAGTTAAATCGTTGAGACGAGATGTGATGGCTATGTTTGACAAAATATATTGAAATTAAAGTATTGACCGTAATGGGTGCCTGCAAACAAAGATCCACTCACAAGCGCAAACATCTGACTGGCTCGCGCCGATGCTCCTGGGCTCACCGCACAACAAGCTGGTGAAGAGATTGCTTGGCCTTACGAGGGATTATCGTGAAAGAAGCAGCCACTTTGGCTGTGCATTCCAAACATTTGTTGGATTTTAAATTTTTATTTTGATACGATGATCAGTTAAAGAAAAAACAAATTATTAATTTTTTTTTTAAAGTCAACTGAAACACGTTAAAATAAAATTGTGATCCTAATAGAAAGGTCGCCAGACTTTTTTTTTTAATATAGCCGATATGTCTACAATCTTATGTAATTATAATGGATATGTCTACAATCTTCTGTAATTGTAATAGGTTTTAAATCTTCTGTAATTTAAATCGAAATGCCTAAAAGCTTGTCTAATTAAAATCAAAACGTCTACAATCTTGTGTAATTATAACCAATAGGTCTACAATCTTATGTAATTATAACCGATAGGTCTACAATCTTATGTAATTGTAATCGCTGTGTCTACAAATCATTTGTTACATTCTAAAACAAAGACATTTTGAGAATGTGCCCACCAAATAAACGGCTTGGCGGATT